CCCTTTTCGTCAGGCTTTAAACGCTAAATGCAGGCCCCTATTTAAGGCGGGGCACGGGTTAGCACAAGCCCGGAGGCGTCAAGTCTCAGGGGTAGTAAAATATTTTAGCAATATTAATTTTAAAAATGATGTAGCTAATGAAAAAAAAATAATAGTATGTTTTATTATATTATAATTTGTAAATTAAAAAAAAAAAAAAAAATTATTTTATTTTTTTTTATTAAAGCTACCAATATAAAATTATTACAGCTTAACAGTTTCAACTAAAGATACATTAACAAATAATAGTACAATATAAAGAAACAATAAAAATACATACTGAAAAAAAAAACAATCAGTGATTAAAAAGTTAAAAAATTATAACTAGTAAGGTTACTGACAACAATTGAAACCTACGAAAAAATTGTATTTTTATTATATTATAATTTGTTAATTAAAAAAAAAGTATTAAACGATTTTCTTTTATAAGTTATATTTTAATAGAATTTTAATAGAGTCTCGATTATGGATGAAATAAGTGTTATATAATGATTATTTATTTTTTGGGGGGTGGGAATAAATTATATGCCCGGAGGGTACCAAATTTTTAAATACAGGCCTGACTTAACACAAGTAACAGTTGTATTATTATACTGGTGAAAGTTATCGGGGTCAACTGATACGTAAAATGATAGAAAGTTTCGACATCGGTATTAGAATTCTGTGTACAGATGCGCCACATACTTTTGTAAAAATTGGAAGCGCTTACGAAAACGCGACCGCTAGATGTCACTGCGTAATCGTTTGCGTTTAATGTAATCAAAAAAACTAGTATTGCGTTATAAAAATCTACCAACGGTTATTGTTTGTTTTACTGTTGAAATATCGAGTTCTTGTCGTGTCCAATGCAAACGGTTACTAATATCCATGTAGGCGGTACCAATTCTAGCAATATGGTGACGCCTTCTCAAAAAATGGTATCAAAGAAAAAAAAAGATTGTATTAACGTTTCCCATTGCTAACTTGAGTGGTTTTGGCACCGAAAAATTCACACAATTTGTTCTTTTTCTAAGAATTCAAACGTTATTTCTAATCATTATAAACTATATTACTGAGTTGGATGACATTTTCTCCAAAATATATTTTTCAAAATTGATTACAACAATTATTATAATTGTATCATTATTAATGTTAGGTACGTTTATTTTCTTCTATCATCAATAGTGTACTATGCATTTAGTAGTTAAATTATATATAGTTAAATTATACACACATCGCCGTCTTAGTTTATTTATTTTTTCAATCAAATATTTCAAATGATTTCCAATCATTTAATTCTATTTATGTATAAAAATTAAAGGATTCAAATGAAAAAAAATTACCTGATGATTTAAAAAAATATTATAGGGGGCGTTTTTGTGTTCTGCATGTTAATATATATAATAAGATTCTATTATTGTGTAAATTAGTCATTTACATTTTCTTGCATATGTCATTCAAAAATGAATTTATAAACTTTTTTTAATTTATTTTGTCTTAGTTGAATTTATAGACTTATCAACACGCTTTATACTATAAATATATATATATATACTCACACACACACACACACACACACACACATATATATATATATATATACATACATACAATATAAAACATTACATTTCAAGTTTGATAGACACTGCAAGAAGATACATTAGGTATTCATTGTTTCTTCGAAAAAGTGAATTTCATACAGTGTGATTTATTATAATAATAATATTGTACTTGATACACAAGAATAAAAACAATTTTAATCACACAATTACATATTATGACTTAAATATTAATTTTGAATATAGCATTTATTGCTGTTATACGAATAATATATTCATTTTCATTTTCATTATTATTTGGAACATTTGTCTTTTACATTTATTTTAGATTTTAAACTTGAAAATTAATTTCACTAAATCAATAAATACTTTTATATCTCAAATTTCTGGTGTTTAATTTACTAATACAAAAATAAAATGTATTAATGTTTTCCTTAGTAATATTAAACTAAAATTAAGTTTGACCCTAGAATAGTCTCCTATTCTAATTTAATACAAAAATTGTATTAAAATCATATTAAATTTAAATTTTAACACTTGTAGGTACTAGATATTATAGGAATTCCTTTTATTTGGACTTACATTAAACTTGTATGAAACTGATTAATTTTTTTGTTTAAATACAAATTTAGAATAATAATTAGTGTTTAACGGTATTTTTTATGTAATTAAGAAAGGGTTCTTCGTGTCAATTGATTTTTAAAATGTAATTTAAATTTGTAGTTTATCTTTTGTAATATACTTAATATTATTATTATGGTTTTCTCAGTCTCTGTTGTTGTGGATGTTATGTTATAATAAAATTAATAAAATATATTAGATATTATATTTATTTTAGCAGTAAAATAAATTTTGTAGTAGTATTTATTTAATTACGTAAAAAAAAAAAAAAGTAATGCAGTCAATGTAAATACTTTTCATACGATTAAAAATATTATTTAGGACGTTACTCAGTTAAATAAAAATCTAAAATTCAGTACATTTTTTTGTTCTGATAAAATTGCAAAATTTCTTCAGTCTTATTCTCTATTACTCTATCTATCGAAAAATTTGTGAACTAAATATCATTTAGTATTATTGAACTAGATTGCGTCAACCAAACACAATTCAGATTGGATTTGGCATACTTTCTCAAAAATAAATTTTATTTGAAAATTATACAATATATCTTCCGATATTTTCGGTTCCGTGTAAAATATTTAAAATTTTAATTTTGGCACCTAAGTTTTAGATTATAAAAGATAATATGTGTTGTCTATTTTCTAAAATATAATAATTATTTACGATGATGTATGAAAGTTATTATTACGAAGAAATATTTCTAAATTATTTCTGGGTTATACCTTATTTATAAAACCACTGTAACAAACCAAAAATAAGCTTATTAAAAGATCTTTTGTCTTTCATCTTTTTTTTCAAAAATATGAAAACTTTAAGTGACGATTTATTAGTCAAATATGTAATAATTGGAAAAACTATTAACTCTAAAATATATTCTTACTTAATTTTGATTTTTATAAAAATTATTTTCACTGTGATTACATCAAAATTAATTTATTATTTTCTTTTAATTTTAAAATTAAAATTTGATATCCTAAATAAAGACAAAAAATAAAAAAGTAACGATTGGCTTAAAATGTATTGAAATAACAATATCTTTAGTTAATATATTAATCGTATCACATTTAAATGTACAGCCATACCTATAACGATAAGATTTGCCTGTGCATTTAAAATTATTATCAAATTTTCAAAATTACGTGAGATAAATGTATAAGTGTCTTTTACATTTTCACGTCCAATACGTATAAAGTATACAATAATACATATAAAGTCAAATTTTTTTTGGGTAATAATTTGTGAATATTTATTTTCTTTACTTACTTATAAAAACTTGTATTTATAATTATTGTAATAAATATATTTTTATAACCCATGGATTAAATTATTTAAACGATATCAAATCCGGATCAATGAATAAATAATATTTGAAAGAAATGCATCGAATTATATTGGTATAAAGTAGGTAGTGACAAAACTGGTTAAGTGTGGTGGTGTATATTTTATTATTTATTGGTAATTATTTTTGTTCATCACTTGCATAATTCATAAAAACGTAACTATTTTTTTAATTAATCTAACAATGATTCTTATAAAGTTAATAGTAATAATGATTATTATAATTATAATCATAACTGTATCAAACATTTTTTTTTAAACAACGGTCTTATTATATTTACAAAACAAAAAAATAAAAATAAAATAGTTTTAATAATAAAAGGACGTCAATAAACACTCGTCCTTTCGTATACATAACTATAGTAATTATAATAATCTAATATGTAACAATGTAATAATATGTATATAATTTTGCATCATATTGTCATGGGATATTAATGATCTAATAACATTCTTGTATACCCAAATTCTGGATACAAAATAACAGTTGAAATAATATTATCGATGTATATAAATTAACGCATAGTATTAGTTTTTATAACAGTTTTGAACTATATAATATTGGCAATACGGTTTCTTAGAAAAATATGTTCAAATGAAACATTGGAACAGTATAGCAATAATATTTAATGTTATGAGTAATAGCTATCGATTTCCATAAACGGAAAACCGTCGTAAATTGTTATTCTTGTGTAATCATTGTGTGTGTGTTGTGATCAATAATTTTGTCTACGAGCTTATACGTAAAAAAATATTGAATACGCGATAATATCTAATAATTTTAATGCAGTTGTTAGTGAATAACATCATAAAGCAGAGTTTTCAAACCTGCGAGACATGAACCGGTGTGTTTCAGACGAGTCACGGAAAAAATATCAACAGCAAAAATCCTATTTGTATTATTCATACGATACGGAATTGGAGCATATTTTTTGATAAGACTTAGAGTATAGTTTACTTTATTTTTCAAATTTAGAATTAAGATCGAATTCATTTTTATACTTATTTTAAAATCTTCATTAACACTAGCTAATCTGATAATTAACTCCTTGATCATAACTGCAGAATTGAATCACTAGGATTTTAAATAGTTAGAAAAGGCTACGTGTCCATTGATGGTTTGAGAATCCCTGTCCTAAGGTGGTCTATAGTTCTAAAGATTGCGTAAAAGCAGACTTCGTTGGTTCATTCTCTGCAACGAAGATATTTGCGATTATGGGCGTTTGGCTATGCGATTTCCTACACTATGTTAGGTACACGTTTTCGTTTCACGACGGTTGAGTCATGAAATCAAATCTATATTCATATATGCGAATGTGTATTTTAAGAGAAAAAAAGTTGAGCGTTTTTTTTTTCAAACAACTTTATATAAATATGATAATATATAAATCGGTTTTTCCTATTATAAACACTATAAAATAAAAAATAAATTAAATAAATTAAATAAAAATATTTCTTAATGGAAGACAATATTTTATTAATACGTATATGTGTTGATTAAAATATATAATATATTATACTACAATGCATACTGCGTTTATTACAGCACAAACTTTGCGCGGGAGTATTCATGCGGACATAAACAGTTTGACGAAATGGTTTCTTCAATTTTATTTTTATTTTTTTTTGGTTTTTTGATCTTGTGTGATTATAATCTGGTGATTATATTGACTGTCGTATTAACCGTAAGTACATAACAGTATTAATATTATATACAAATAAATATATACAGCTATAAATAAACATATTGTATTATGAAACGAACAAGGAGAGGATGTAGTATATTCAATATACCTTTGTCCAGTAAGAACAGAGAGGAGGAATGGAACCTGATTTTGTAAAATTAAGGAGGTCTGCACACTTAGTATTCCAAGGTGTTATAAGGAATCATTTAAATCATGATATACAATTTTCATAATTATTGAGTAAGCATGAATCAGCTAGTGCAAAATCGCTAAAAATTATTTTTTTAAAATTCAATTCAGATGTTTTTCAATAAAAATAAAACAAATTCCAATTCAAATGACTATTCATTGTTTTACTGATGATAATCATAAGTTGTCTTCGATTTAAAATAAAACTATTCGATTTTTAAAATTCCCTTATTTCACTCAAAGTTTAAAAAACAATTTTTATTTATTGGAAAAAAATTCACACAAGTAAATGTACGTTTCACTACGATATCAACGTTTTAATAAATATGGCACAAATATTTCTATTACAAATTTCTTTATTAATTTTTTTTATGGATTCCATTGGATGTTTTTCCTTTCAAACTTCATGGATAGTAATGCTCAGTGACTAAATATGTTATCGTGTTAATTTGCTTAGATTTTTAATGATTAAAAAAGAAGAGTGGTTAGCTCATTCCCAGATAAAACGTAAGAGTATAATATTATTGTGATTTTAAATAGCATCGACGAAAACACGAAACATTCGGATTTTCTTATATAATGAGAATGTAAAAAATAAGTTTGGATATCCAAAGACAGAATATTTTACTATGAAATATCAACATTGACCATTGAAAGGATTATATTTTTAAAACTATAGTTTGACCTTTGAATTTAGAGTTTCGTACTGTACCCTAATAAAAACAAATAATTAGAATAAATCAATTATTTACGTTTAAATTTTCAAATTATGTATATAAATATTTATGAAACTATGTATCAACTGTCAATTAATGTTCGCAATCATTTTATTTCATTTGGTTGGATAACTTTTTTCGATTTTGGACGATAGCTCAGAAGTTATGAAGCAGTCACTTAATATATCTGTCATAATCACAAAGTTCGTAAAGAATAGGAACCGTTCCAAAATTATCTTATATATTTTATCATGCATTTTCTGATTCATCGGAAACCATTTTACAACCGTATGCATTTTTTATACTGATGCTATGAATCGAAAACCGTATACGCGCACGTGTTGTTGAAATGCAGGTAGTTATAATTATTTTTTTTTTTTCGTAAAACCACAACATTGTAATAATAAGTTAAAAATGGATATAGGGGCGATAAATGATAGAACAAAAAAAATCAACAATTATTGTCATTGATCAGGAATCGTGGAGTATTGTCACGGTGACAGTTGTCCGACCGCAGAAAAGATATCGTCGACGGACGGCTTGCGCTCACGTGCGGTCTCTCATCGGCACGCACCGGCCACCGGGACCGTTCTCGACCACAGTGACCACAGTAGCGCGAGGGTGGCCAGCAGCACGAGCGGCCAACAGGGGCACGGGCTCCGGTGGCCGGAATCTTTGCTGCCGTGCCTTTGCTTCTGGTCGTGGTGCCGCACGCCTCCGCCGCCGCCCCCGCCGCCGTTCTGGTCGGTCCGCTGAGGTTTTCTCGTGGACAAATGCTGTTCCTGTTGGACGCGACGCAGATCGAACCCGTCCGACGATAGCCGATTTTCACCACCACCGGAATCCGGTCCGATCGATTCTTCCACTGGCACCAAGTTCTCTTCCTCCGAGTTTGCTGACTCGTCGTCCTCTTCGTCCTCGTCTTCCGGCTCCGACGGCGATGCTTCCGTAGTGGTCGGTGCACTTGGCAAGTGCAGTTCTGCGAAAACCATGAAACGTCACTCGAGTATCGAAATCGTGTAAACACATTTTTTTTTTTATGCGAATTCTTGCATTAAATATATATAATTGTAATCTTTATTGTGGAAATGTCGAAAGTACTACTATTTCTGAATTTCGAATTTGACTCTAAGTTTCATAAAATCAAGACTTCTTAACTTTTAGATGTATAAGAAATGATGTAGATCGATTGTTCGTTTAATAAATATAAATATATTATTATGTGGTTGAAACATCAAAGTGTTATTTATCAATGGTATTGAAGTTGTGCCAAAACAAAAAGTCTCAAACTTTGTTATCGTAAAAATTATTAATGTTGTTACATTTTATTTTTCAGGTGTTATGGACTTAAAATGTTTCAAAATCAAATAAGCAAATTGATTGTAAAATATACACTAATAACTTGAACTGATATTATATTAAAAATTTTAAAATAAGTCATATTTGATTTGTATTATATTATGTATGTAACTGTTTCTATTGATAATATAATTATAGAGTTATTCGTTATTTAATTGTCATATTTTTGCAATTAAAATGTCCATTGTTCTGAGGAGAATAGAACGTAATTATTTGGATATTTAAAGGAATAATATCACTGGGGTAACTACTAAAAAATTATATAAAATATGATAAAAATAAATAATATAACACCACGCATTAAAAATGTCTCTTTATAACGTACCTTGAAGCCTTATAGATCCTTCGGCTTTACCCAAAGCGTTTTTGGCTATACACAGGTACCCGCCAAAGTCTTTGGGTTCAAGGCTTGTAATGGTAAGATCCATTTGCAATGAATATTCATTTATTGGAGTCTCAGACATTTCATACTTGACACTAGGTATGAGGTCACCTCCTGTAAAAGAAATACAATCATAAAAATAAAATTGTATTAAAATATAAAATATATAATATATACAATTGTATCCTTGTCTCTGAAGAATATATTGATTACTAATAATAAATTATAAATTGTTGTATTTTATTTTTATGGTACAACAATTTATAATTTATTATTAGTAATCAATATATTCTTCAGAGACAAGGATATGTTTTTTTTTTATTTCATTCAAACATTTGACTAAAATAATTTATATTTATTTGATATAAAAATAGATAGTATAAGACATTTATATTAATTTGTTTATAATATTTAAATAAATACTAATTTACATTCAGATTTAAAATGTAAGAGCTATTTAAAGTAGAAAATCTAATATTTAGCAGATTTTTTTTTGATTCAAATACGAAAAAATAAAAAATTTGATAATTATTGGACATTCTTTTTCAGATAGTTTTTATATTTTAAATCTAAGTGGAGAATATTATTTATTTAATTATAATAGACGAATTTAAATCGATTTTCTCAATGTAAAATGTTATGTATTTTTTAAATTAAGTGTTTCTATTTTTATATTAATATAATAAAATAAACACGACAACTATAGTAGCAATTTTTAAGTCTGTATTTATATAAATGTAATATTTATTTAAATTCATATACATATATATATATAGACAGTCGACTCTCGATAATTCGAATAAAAACAATGCATTTAAGTACACTCGGTAATTCGAAATTAAATTTTGAGAAAACTGGCCACTAACACTTAATAATTCGAAGTATATTCACCAAATGTATTTTATCTGTATTCTTATAATATTTTTATTAATAATTTACTATACAATCGTGTAGAAGTTTAGATTATTATTGTCGATAACTATAAAATATTATCTTAAGAACCTTATCGTTTTATTTCTTAATCGTCTCTAATAGTAATTTAACTCGTCGAGTCGTCGATAGCCGTCAGCCGAATGTAGTTTTATTTTAGTTTCGTTTGGTCGGTTGTAAAGTAAAGTTCTTGTGATGAGTGCGTCTAATTCTAAAAAATACAAATCTTTGACAATTTTGAAAAAAAAAACAATTGATTGAAGCGGTTGAAAGAGGTAACAAAAAAAAAACCGAAGTGGCTAAGACATTTGACTTTCCCTTAAATACACTGTCAATGATTTTGAAGGACAAAAATAAAATCATTGCTGCGTCATCAAGCGGTGGTCGGAAACGAAACAGTAAAGGTGAGCATCCAAAACTAGAAGAGTGTTTAGTACAATGGGTTAGGCAATGCAAAGGGCAAAATGTGCCTGTGAGTGACCTCTTACTCAAAAAAAAAGCAAAATCATTCGCCAAAGAGTTGGGCATCAAGTTTTTCTCAGCTAGTGATGGATGGTTAACGAATTTTAAGAAAAAAAAACAATATTATTTTCAAAAAAAATTGTGGAGAAAGTTCTAGTGTTAACGATAACGTGTGTTCAGAGTGGCATCGTAAACTTTCAACTTTGTTAAAAAATTACGAGCCACGAAACGTGTTCAACACAGATGAAACCGCTCTATTTTTTAAATGTCTACCAGATAAAACTTTCACCTTTAAAGAAGAAAAATGCCACGGTGGGAAATATAGTAAAGATAGGTTAACGATTTTACTAGCAGTAAACATGGACGGCTCCGAAAAGTTAACTCCACTCCACATAGGAAAAGCTGGAAAACCTAGATGTTTTAAGTGCATACGTTCATTTCCTATAACTTATCGTTCAAATAAAAAGGCATGGATAACGACAGAATTATTTAATGGGTTGGTTTCACTCAATGAATACATGAAAAAATAGGAACGCAAAATTCTACTGTTTTTAGACAACTGTGCACTTCATAATAACCCCCCACATTTAACGAATATAGAACTTCAATTTTTTCGTTTTAATACCACATCGAAGTTGCGATCACTCGACCAGGGTATAATTAAGAATTGTGAAACTTTTTACCGTCAAGAAGTTGTAAAGAATGTTTTGGAATGCATTGAAAGTGAACAAACGCCAAACATTAGTGTATTGACTGCTATGATATTTGTTGATAAGGCATGAAAAAAAGTAGCTCCTTCTACGATACTCAAGTGTTTTAAAAAATTGAGATTCACCATAGAAATTCAAAAAACAGAAAACGACCAGTTGAATATTGAATCGATACAATGGAATTCCCTACCAACTCAAAAAAATATATCTTTCACTGATTATGTCAATGTCGATGAAGATGTTGCTGTATGGGGAGTCCACTCTGACGCCGAAATTTTGAAAAATATATTAAGCGTTGATGGAGACAATGAAGATGACATTCTTGTGACTTTAAAAGAAGCCAGTTCATCCTTTGAAAAAATACGAAATTTTTCACTCCAGTTAAAAGTCACTGTTGATGTTTTTGATACTTTATTTACTATGGAAAATACCATTGAAAAAATGAAACTGAAGGTAATGAAGCAGAAAATCATTAAAAAAAAAATAAAAATGGTTTTTCAAAAAATATTAATCTTTTATAATAATAATAAATGATTAAAAATGTTAAAATTAACAATAAATAACTCTAAAATGTATCACCTAATTTACTGAAATAATTAATATGTATGTATGTACAATAATAAAAAACAAAATTTTTTTCTTTACTCTCTATAGTTCGGATTTTTTTGCTCTCTTGTAATTTTCGAACTACTCAACAATTCGAACTCTCGGTAATTCGAAGTTTTTCAACAATCCCGTCAATTTCGAATTATCGAGAGTCAACTGTATATATATATAGCAAAAATATATTTATAAAAGTTGAATTTCTTTTACACGGGTACAAGTATAATAAATACATTAATAAAAAAAAAAGAATACATGTACAACTGCATTTATATTATATAAGATAACGAGTAAATAATATAAAATAGCGATATTTTCTAAAATTAAACTTTTAGTTTAAAGAATTACGTTTCTCTCAAGTTTTACATTATGTATTAAATGTTTCAATTTAATGAGGCTATAAAAGGAAGGAATATGTCCGTGGAATATAATGTATAGAAGTAGTCGTAATTTATTACGGTAAAAGACTTTTGTGCGAGAAAGGAGTTAAAATTATTTGGATTACATGTAAAATGGAAAAGTAAAAGATGAGTAATGACTTTGAAGTCATCAATGAGTGTTTAAAGAGTACCTACTATTACACTTGTATTTTTAGTTTTTATAATATTATAATACCTTATAATTATGAAACCATTCACCACCATTCACGGAACATTAAATATTTAAGACTCTATCTCAGTAAATTTTCCTATAGTTAATAAAGCAGTGATGTTACTTGGGTGGATATTCCACAGAAGAGATATTATGATTCAGCTCTATATATTGTATAATTATTGTATGTGATATTATAACCTTTAATTATAAAATATGTATACTTATATTTGTAGATTTATGTTATGGTTGATGCGATAACTAGTCAAACTTAGAAATAACTTATACACAGTTCAATAGAGACAATTTATACAATTTATTTGTTGTAATGGACAATAGTTGAAAAATAGTAGGTATCTTTTTCATTTTATTCTAAGAAATTTATTATTTTTAGAAATCGTTTTGTTAATCTATAATAAAAGTGTAGTGTAAAATTTGAAAATAGTCAATATAACTTTTTCAATTATTCGTTAATAGTATTTACGTTCTACTGAAAAATTATTGAAGATTAATATGCTCGAATAATTTAAATCAATCTCGAAAATCAATAAATAAACATTTGATTATATTTTTTGAAAGTGTTAATACTTACTATTAAAAAAAAAAAAACTTTTGTTATTATAAAAACTAAATAGGTGTGTAAAGATTAATGAAATACTACGGATACGACATTCTTTCGTCCATTTTAAATATTTTTATTTCAATTCACATTTCTTGAATTTCATTTAAACGATGGTTTGTAAATGTTTTCCCATCAACTCTTATTGTTCAAAATTATGAAACTCAAGACAAAAAATAACAATTTGTTACCAATTATTTTTAAGTTTAGTATTTTTCATGTCGAAATCTATTTTCTGTAGTGTTTAAAAATAATAAAACTATTAAGTGGTTCTTGGCGTGACACGGAATGCGAGAAAAATAATAAACTTTGAAAATCTCTTTCACATCAAGTAACTAATAGAATTAATACGTCATGGAAAACACGTAATTATGTATTTCAGTGGTTATTAACCAGTGTTCCATGAAAAACAGAAGCTCTGTGAACTTAAAGAAATTGTTTTGTAAAAATTTAAAAATTAGTGAAAAATAATAATCTTTTTTTAGTTTTATCTTCTATAAGATTAGACACATGAGTATTTCCGGTTGGGTCAAAGATTACAACGAATATCTTGTTTATACAAGTACTTATTATAAATTTATCAATTTTTATTACTACGTAGAATAATTTTTTATATGAAAATCATTGATTGTACTTTAACATCTGTGAAATTTTTTTTTCTCATATAATTTTTTCCGTCGACTTATAATTGTAATGTGTATATCATACATTTTATAATTGTATTGTATTGTTCTATCCAAAAAATATTTGAATACTGTTTTGCTTTACGAGTGTACCTATTACACGTAAATATTATATGACTTTTAGCTTTCCATTGTTCTGAAAAGTTTCCGTTGGTCTCCATTGTTATTTCTAAGTTTATCTTACGTATGCGTTAAGAATTCGATCGTTTACGATCATTTTCTTACTGTATTAACTGACCGTTTTTTCCATCATTCGTATAATAACCGTTAACTGGTGTCTCGATTAAGTACCCAACTTAAATCACATAGATAGTTTTAGATGATTTTAGGTTACACCGGAACCCGTGTTAAATGTATCGGATGGCCAGGCCTAAATGTGTTGCGAAAGTCACGGGACGAAAAACACAACACGGGTAGTACTATGCGCTTCGTAGCAGTAAGTCGGGGATAAAAAAAAAATGTTCCCGAGCTAACGCACACTATATGACCGTTGTGGTCACGATAAAGGATAATGTG